TGGATGACTTAGTATATGGAACAGTGCGTTCCAATATTCTGGGCACCAATCTGCTGTCAAACTTGAACAAAGCCTATGCCATGGTGATACAAGAGGAGCGGCTGAGAACCATGACCCGCGGCAAAGAAGAAAGAAAAGAGGCGATGAGCTTTGCTGTGCAAGCTCAAGGTGGCACAAAAAGAACGGGACACGATACAAAAGAAAAATCTGGAGCGTGCACAAACTGCGGACGCACAGGACATGAGGCTGAGAGTTGCTTTGAACTTATCGACTACTCGGATTGGTGAGGAGACCGACCGAGATCCACTGGGAGTGGGAAAGCTCGAGGCCAAGGAACACAAGGTAAATCTGGTCGTGGACATGGAGGCAGACAGAGAGCAAATGCAGCACAAGCGGTAGGGCAAACTTCTGAACCGACCCACACGACAGAGGGAGATCACACTGCTTTCGGTGGATTGACTAATGAACAGTGGTCCACTTTTCTTAATCTGTTGAATTCTTGCWAACCCARCACAAACGAGAAGTTGACAGGTATGAATTGGATAATTGATACAGGAGCTTCACACCATATGACAGGAAACCTGAACCACCTGCATGATACCGAGACCGTGACCGGTTGTCAGGTTGGATTGCCTGATGGAAAGTATGTCATGGCAATAAAGAAAGGGATCGTCATTTTGAATGATCACATGAAGCTTACTAATGTGCTTTATGTTCCTTGTTTGAATTGAAACCTGATATCTGTGTCGCAATTATTAGAAGAGTCAAATTGTAATATCCAATTCACTAATAAGTTTTGTGTTATACAGGACTACACTTCGAGGATGGTGATTGGTGCGGGTGAACTACACGGAGGGATCTACTGCTTCAAAGGTGCGTGCTCAAGCAAGGTTCACAAAGCAAAGGTTAAAGCTTCATACGAGTTATGGCACAAGAGAATGAGTCATCCCTCTGAGAAAGTAATTAAACTTCTTCTTGATTTGAACTTTAGATGTGATAGTAGAAATAGGATATGTGGAGTTTGTTCAAAAGCCAAACAGACAAGAGGTACGCTTGATTCTAGTGAAAACAATGCTAAAGGAACTTTTGATTTAATTCATTGTGATTTATGGGGTCCATACTCGGTACGGACGTCTTGTGGTGCCACGTATTTTTTGACCATTGTTGATGACTTCTCAAGAGCCGTTTGGATATTCTTACTTAATGACAAAAGTGAAGTGGGCAAAACACTACAGAACTTCCTTACTGTGGTTAAACGGCAATATGAAAAATTGGTGAAGATAGTTAGAAGCGACAATGGTACTGAGTTTACTTGCTTGAAGGAATATTTCTCTGAGCAAGGTATAATACATCAGACCTCATGTGTTGAAACACCGCAACAGAATGGATGTGTCGAGAGAAAGCATAGACCTATACTAGATGTTGCCAGAGCTCTTAGATTTCAGGCCAACCTCCCTATTGAGTTTTGGGGAGAATGTGTTATGACAGCTGGTTATCTGATCAACAGGACCCCCTCCACTCTCCTTTTGGGTAAATCACCGTATGAGATGCTATATGGGTAGAAACCAAGCTACAGACATATACGCACATTTGGGTGTTTGTGTTATGCACGAAGCCTGAATCGTACCAGGGACAAGTTTGCAAGTAAAGCCAAACGTTGTGTCTTTGTGGGATACCCCTTTGGCAAGAAGGGGTGGAGAGTTTATGACTTAGAAAATAATGAATACTTTGTTTTCAGGGATGTGGTGTTTTCAGAAACTGAGTTTCCTTATGCTATTGAAGAAAAACAAGTCAAACACAAACCCGGTGATGGTACTCTTACTTATAACCAAGAGGAAACTGAAGAGTGTGGCGAAGAAGATAGTGAAAGAGGAAGGGGTAATGGTACTTGTAAGGTCATAAGAGAGACAGGACAAGGCGACAGGTGTGAAAATAATGAAAGGGAGCATGGAGTAAGGGGGGTTCTATGGAAGAAACGAATGCAGATAATAAGCAACTTGGATGAGGTCATAGAGTGAAGCATCCTTCCACCCGTCTCAAGGATTACATCATACACACCACATGGTGTTCCGACCATAGTCTGAGCCCTTCTACCAATTCATCTTGCCAATCTCACTCCTCAGGTACTCCCTATCCTATAACACATTATGTGAATTGTGATAAATTCTCTTTGCGACACCGCTCTTTCTTAGCAGCTGTCACAGCTAATCATGAGCCCCAAAGCTATTTAGAAGCTATCAAGGACTCTCGTTGGAGAGAGGCAATGAGAAAGGAAATTGAAGCCTTAGAAAACAATAGAACCTGGACAGTGGTGGACTTGCCGCCAGGGAAAAAGGCACTCGGAAGTAAATGGGTCTACAAGATAAAGTACCACTTAGATGGCACAATAGAGCGGTACAAGGCGCGTTTGGTGATATTCGGAAACAAACAGGTTGAAGGAATAGACTACAATGAAACATTGGCGCCTGTGGCAAAGATGGTTACAGTCCGTACATTCCTTGCAGTGGTTGCGGCTAAAAACTGGGAACTACATCAGATGGATGTGCAGAACGTGTTCCTTGACGGAGATCTGCAAGAAGAAGTGTATATGAAGATGCCCCCTAGATTTGCTTTGAGACTACCTGGGAAGGTGTGCAAGCTGCGCAAGTCGCTTTATGGTTTGAAGCAGGCCCCTCGTTGCTGGTTTGCTAAACTAACGACGGCCTTGAAACAGTATGGCTTTACCCAGTCACAATCTGATTACTCCTTGTTTACACTACGATGGAAGCAGGAACAGTTGAATATCTTGGTGTACGTGGACGATCTTGTCATCTCTAGAAATAATGGCAATGCTATATGGAGATTCAAGAAGTATCTGAGCCAATGCTTCCACATGAAAGACTTGGGAGCTTTGAAGTATTTTTTAGGAGTGGAGGTCGCCAGAAGCCAGAAAGGTATTGTCCATTGTCAGCGAAAGTATGCTTTGAATATCATATCTGAACTAGATTGCTAGGATCTAAGTCAGTTGGACTTCCCCTGGAACAAAATCATAAACTAGCTCTGGCAGATGGTCCTCTGATGGTAAAACCAGAGAGTTACAGGAGGCTTGTGGGTCGTTTAATTTACTTAAYCATTACCCGTCCTGAATTGTCCTACTGTGTACATGTGCTTGCTCAATTTATGCAGAACCCCCGTGAAGAACACTGGGAGGCGGCTTTACGTGTGGTGCGATATTTGAAAGGTAACCCGGGACAGGGAATTTTCCTTCTGGCCGACAGTGATCTTCAATTGTATGCTTACTGTGATTCTAATTGGGCCGGGTGTCTACTGACATGACGCTCTCTCACTGGATACTTTGTATTTTTGGGACAAGCACCTATCTCGTGGAAGACAAAGAAGCAGCTTACAGTGTCCAGATCATCGGCTGAGGCGGAATACAGGTCTATGGCAACAGCTGCATGCGAATTGAAATGGTTAAAAGGGTTGYTGCATTCGTTAGGAGTTGGTCATCCTGATCCTATGCGATTACACTGTGATAGTCAAGCAACCTTGCATATCGCTGCGAATCCGGTCTTCCATGAGAGGACTAAACACATTGAAGTAGACTGTCACTTTGTCCGCAATGAAATTCAGAATGGGAATATACGGCCTTCCTATATCAGGACTTCTGAGCAACTTGCTGATATGTTTACGAAGGCCCTAGGCAGGCAACAATTCGAACATCTTCTTGCCAAGTTGGGCATTTCCCGTTTACATGCTCCAACTTGAGGGGGGGTATTAAGCCCGCACCTTCTTAGTAGCGTAGTCTTATCTCTTGTTGTATGAGTCCTATCTGTTGTATAGTTGTTCTTGTTGTTCTTGGTTTGATTTTCCTTATTCGTTTAGGAGTTTGTATCCTAATCGCAAGAGGGAGCTAACTTAACTCTACCTTTTTATATAAATCTTGTAATCGGCTGATGGAGATAGATACAGAAAGAAAAGATTTCCCTTCCAACTCGAGTTTTTACAATGTCCTACAAATGTAGGAGCCCAGGACTGATAGCTCAAAATCCCCCAACAGTTATATTGCTTGGGCGAAGTATGTTTTCGAAACCCCATGTACTACCGGATGCTGTAGGATTCCAGTCTGCTTATACTCGTGGATTGTTACCCGGGTCTATCTGGTAGGAAGGGTTTGAAGTATGTGGGAAGTTTGTTGGAGCACTAGTGTTGCCGCACACACATTTGTCGGGGCTTTTGGGGAATTTATAATGACGGTCGAAGATGCAGCTGCCTTGTTGGCGCTGCCCATTGGTGGTGCCTTATCTGCCCATCATCTTCAGCATGTCGAATCTCTTCTAGCAGAATACAGGGAATTGTGCGACAAGCTTCCTCATGAGATTGCAGTGTTCAAGGCGTAGGAAGATCAGATCACTTCTCTCAGGAAGATGTCCTTGGACCACTTGATAGAATTCTGGTTCGAATCCTGTGGCGCACGGGACGTAATGGTGAGAAACGCGGATAGTCAGTGCCATCTGGCGACCTTCATTTTGTACGTCGTCTCTCGGTTCCTTTTCCCGGGTCCTCCCGATTGCGGTTTAAGTACTTCTTTGGTACCGCTCGCTGTTCTTGCCTTATCTAGCCATCAACTACCTCTAGCCTTAATGTTTGTGGGCTATCTCTATGATCAGCTCAATGAGTGGATCCAAGTTGTAAGTGGCCTGTTAGTTATATTTTTGCGCCATTCCTCTAGATGTATATTTGCGAGCAATTCGATCTTGCCATTACTCTGCGTCCGCTTACACATTTCTAGGTTCCTGTTGCTACTTTGCATGGGGAGCAATTCGAGGAGAAAGTCTTTGATGTTTGTAGAGGGAAAAGGTGGTAGCAGGCTGCTCATGATAAGAGCTTCAAGATGGCTGAAATCAGCGTGGGGTTGGCTTCTTTGGACGGATTTGAATTGAGGCCCTAAGCTCACCCGGTTCGCAACGCGATCCCGTTATGTGTCGGCACACCTGTTCCTAGTGACGCCAATCAAAAGTGTGCGATGGATATCGACAGTGCCATTGCGGGTGTAATGCGATTGATTGTGTGGCCCAGGGTAGTGGCCTACCTTGATTGTACTGGTGAGGCATAACTGGCCGTCTACCGTCTAGATGGGGTGATGCGCCAGTTTGGATATGACGATCTGGGTGGCCAGTTTCTACAGTCCTCAGGAGAAGATGTCTTTTGCACTCGGAGGCACGACCGAGCTTTTCTAGGGTGCTCGCATTTGCCGGTTGCAGGCTTATTTAGGGTGCAAAGATGTAGGGCTCTTCAGTTGTCGTATCTTTGTGCATTGTTTGCGGGCTTCCAGGAGGTAGTTAGGAAGACCTCCCAGCTTCGTCATTCTTTGGTTCCTCCAGAAGGTCATGCCGCCAACCGGGGTGCCATCCCAACCCCTGCTGTGCTACAACTGTCAGAGAGGGCTTGGGCTAAGCGCAAGATGGGGCCTCTGGTTTTGGAGGAGGGGGAGAGTAGTCGTCCCCCGGTTGCGAAGAGGATAAGGTCTGCGAGGGTGCCCCGCCCTCCATGGTCCGGTGCGGTACCGGAACCTCTAGCTGTGGCATCATCCCATTAGCCTGGGAGTGGCCAGGGGGCTCTGGCAACAACTCCTGTAGGAAGGACTGTTCCGGTCGTGAAGCCAGTAGAGATGGCAGTTATGGTATCCTCTCCCGGGGGTGGTATCGTCTGGTTCTCAAGTGAGCAAATGAAGAGGAAAGTTCCCCCTCGCCCGAAGCGGGGTCCTAGGGATGATGCTTTGGTATGTCGCTTTTGTCTTGTGTCTTGTGTTTTCTTCCTCAACTGTATTACGGAGACTATGCTGACTCTGTTTACTTTTCGTTTGTGCAGTCTGTGGAGAGTGATAGCGCTTGTGCAAACATGGAGGTTCTAGTGGTTCCTCTGGAGCAGGCAACAGAGGCTCTGGTTACCTCCTCTGTCGAGGCAGGTTTGGTGAGCACTTAAGCCCATGTTTTAAATTTGAATTTGTTATTGTTAAGTATATATTGTGAGAACTAACCGTAAAACAATCCTTTGTTCTGAGGCGGGTTGACCATGATGAAGCTCAACCCGGCAAGGATGTCTTGGGCGTCGATGAAGTGGATCAAGAGCTAGATCATGACTGTGTTTCATTACCCGTTCAATATTTGGCATATATAACAGTATCGTTAAGCTGACTATTTGTATGTGGCTCTATCGTAGGCACTCTTCTCTGAGTATCCGGTTGGGGTGCCAGACACGCCTTTCTTTAGGCGCTTGGCTGAGGAGTTGAGGGAAATGCAGCCCCCTAGCGTCAATTCCGTGGTTGCTGAGGGTGTTGTGGGTGACAACACCGTTTCTATGGATCGGATAAGTCAGCTGGCTGCTAACACGGGAGCAGCGACCAATGGTGCAGAGTCTTCCGATGCGGCCACTAGTGATGCCGAAGGCCCCGGGGGTGTGGAGGGTGCAGTTCCTATTGAGCCTCAGTCCCCTGTTGCAGCAGGTGGCGTCACCGGGGATGCTTCTATGCAGACTGGGGAAAACAACTCTGTGGGGCCTGAGGTCTTGGCTGAGGCGGAGTGTCACTCAGGGAGTGAAGAGACGGAGCCCAGCATTATCTTTCCTCCCGAGGAGTTGTCGTACGAGGAGGAACTGCTTCAGATATGGCAGGAACTGCTAGAATACTGTGACAATCACAGCATCCCGTTGTTGCACTTCCCAGTGGTGGAGCCGGTACGGGTTCAAGGTAAAGGCGTGCAGTACAGCGTCTCTAGTGCAGTTGCTCAGTTCGTGTCAATTACGATTTATGCTGAGTGGTTTCCAGAAGGAAGACTACATCCAGAGATTGTAGGTCCTGCCCTGAACACCGTTGCTACGTTAATGGGTCGTGTAATGGTCCTCCCGTTAAAGGATTTATCATGGACTGACTTCGCCTACTGGCTGGAGGCCTGTCGGGCTTTTTCATCGATAGGTTTCTTCATGGACCAGATCAGAGCAGTGCGTCGTTGTGTTAGCACATGCCTTTTGGAAGGCTGGTTAGGACATACATCAGATTGATCCGTTCCATTCCATGAAGGATGTCCGTGGGCGCCAGAAAATAGTTGAGGCAAGCGTCACTAGAGTCGCGAACAAGCTCAAGGGTCTGAGGGAAGAATGTGCTCGGTAAGAACGGATCCTCGAGGAATACAAGGCGGAGTTGGAGAGCCTGAAGAATTTTGAGGAAACTAGTGGGGTGCTAGATGCCATATCTTCCATACGGGAAGAGTGGGCCAAATGACCATTGATTGTGTTTTGCTGTAGTGGACTATTCTGGGGTTGTCCCATGATTGTATAATAATTTTATTTTATTTTTGGTGACTAGTGCAAAGAAATTCAATTATGTTCAATATTATTCTCGTCCTGTATCGTAAAAATTTTTTCGTATTCCAATTTTTCATAATTATTGATCGCACTGTGTGCTTCTTGTCTTTACAGTATTCATGTGGTAGGGTTTATCGCGGTGTGCTAAGGTGGTTGAGTGAGGTTGCCGGTGCGTTTGTAGCGTTTGCTATGAATGAGTCCTCTGTCTAGTCTCCGTAAGCAATAACCTGGGATTTGAATTTGTAGAGAACTTAATTGCAGTATGCTACTCATGTGTGTGTACTTATCGCACAATAGGGTTGTAGCAATGGGTGTGAGTTAACGAGTTCCCTGTCGGGTTTTATTGTAATCAAGTGCAAACATTGTGTCACTTTATCGCAAGGCATTTAGAGACATTGAGCAGTGTGGATTGAGGCACGATCAGGAGGAGTTGCCCAGATAAGAGGTTGTTCCTGTATTGAAACGTTATTAGATGCGAAAGGAACACCTCGCGAAAGAGTTGAAATGTAGGATGTGCTTTGATGTTTAGAAATGGGTTTGTCTTTTGTGTGCTGAGGAACACTAAATGATTTGTTAACTTCTCTGTGTGTTGCCATACCTTAAAGGGGTAGGGCCCTCTATGAGTTGTGCAGTAGACGCTTAGTTTATCGCAACCAACCTTGGGAGCGTAGGGCATTGTTTGCAAGTGAATTGTTATTACTGTCATTGGGCAGTCGAAGTTTGTTCTCCCCTAGTTCATCGCGGTTAAGTAGAGTATTTGAATTTATGAATTCCACGGGAGTCAAACCTACTGTCGACATAGCCCTCCGATGGTTACATGGAGGTGTGGCTGTGACTGGGGTTGCCAAGGCTTTATCTATGCTTGGGGTTGCCAGGACTTGTCTGTGCCTGGGGTTTATAGGACTTTATTTGTGCCTGGGATTGCCAGGGCTTGTCTGTGCCTGGGGTACCCGGGGTGTCGAGGGCTTTAGTAGTGTGCCTAGGGTGCTCGGGTGTTCAGGGTTTAGTAGTGTGTCTGGGGTGCCCGGGGGTTAGTTGTGTGCCCGGGAGTGTCTAGGGCTCAGTAGTGTACTTGGGGTGCACGGGGCTTAGTTGTGTGCTTGGGAGTGTCCAGGGCTTAGTAATGTGCCTGGGGTGCCTAGGGCTTAGTTGTGTATCTGGGGTGTCCAGGGCTTAGTAGTGTGTCTAGGGGTGTCTAGGGCTTAGTTGTGTGCCGAGGGGTGTCTAGGGCTTTGAGTTGCACCTAGGATTGCTAGGACCTTTGCATGGAGCATGTGGTATAGAGTGCCCGGGGTTGTCGGGGCTTGGAGAGCATGGTAAAACAGATTGTATAATTATAAGCAAGATATGCATGTGAGTAAGTATGTGATACATATTGGAATGAATTGTAGTGTACTCTTTATTTCACAACTTTTATGTATGTAATCTTGGTTTGTAAGGTAAAGCTAACTTCATTGCAGTTAGAATTCTAGACTTTATTGTAAATCAAAAGAGTGACAAGTAAAGAGTCATGTAAAACATAGTAGATTGTTCATAAAACATGTACATATACTTGTGTGATTACAAAAGACACAAAGCTAATTAAAGTAAGGTTTCAACTAGGAACCATTTATGGTTTCATCATCCTCGCCTTTGTCTATAGTTTTTAACACATAGTAGCCCAAATTATGGACCTCTTTTATTAAGTACGACCCTTCCAATGTTGGTGCAAACTTCCCCGCAGACTTGCCTTGTTGAACGTCGAGAGATGTCTTCAATACTTTATCCCCCTCTTTGAAACTTCTAGGCTTTAGGTGTTTTTTGCCATTATTAGCCTCGACTTGTTTGTACTTCTCCTACTTCTGTGAGGCTGCATCTCTAACATCATCTTCTGGTTTGATTTTCTTACCCATTGAGAAAGCTACCCTTGCAGAAATAGCTTTTATCTATAGTAAGAGCACCGCCTCTTGACCGTAGACTAAGGAATAGGGTGTCGCCTGTGTACTTTTTCTAATAGATGTGAGATAAGCCCAAAGTGTTTTTGATAGCTTGTCTACCCAATCCTTTTGATTATCAACCACTATTTTGCTCATCATTCTTAATAATGTCTTGTTTATGGCCACTGCCTGGCCGTATCCCTAGGGGTAGTATATCGCAGATGTTCCTAATCTTGCCCCGTACTGCCCTAGGAGGTCATGGACTTCTTGATTTTTGACTGACAAACCGTTGTCAGTCAGTATCCGCATTGGTACTTGATGCGCTTAGAAGACACTAGCAAGTGCACTATCCGATCAAGTAATATAATGATGAGTAGAGTATCATTCCCACGATGATTGATCCAACAACTACTAGTACTGAATGAGCCTTTTGTTATCTGATAGACCGAAATATTAAACAAAGCAAAACCCTAGCTCCTACTTAGCAAACTACCCTAAGCAGTTTTGGATCAGACCACCTTTAATGATGAGAAGAATTGTTGCATGCAAGAAACTAGCAGAAACGGTTTAGCACTTAAATCTTTAAGCAGCCCAACTGAAGTGAATTCAGTCTTGGGTTGGCAAAACCCTAATTTTATGAGCAGCCTCTCCTGAGCACCACCCACTTTATCTATGAGCAATAATCTCTATATCTCTATTAGAAATTTAATCGCCATAGATGCATTAAGAACAAAGAATTCGAAGGTTATCAATTCAGTTATGAATAAATGCCAAACAAACCATGCAAATTATCTCGAAGATGCATTCAGTCCGCTTTCTTGATTAGATGATCTGATTACCTAAACTCTTTCTCAAGTAATTCAAGTAATCCAAGAAACAAGAACAATTCGGCTAAGATTATTCTATTAATCGAAAACCCTAATCAAGAATACCAAGAATGAATCACAGTCAATCTGATCTGCTAAATTATTAATTACATATCAGATTTGAAGTCCATCATGGTTCACATAATAGAAAGAAGAAAAGAAAGATTCAATAAAGAAACATCAAGAAACCCTAATCGAATCTAGGTTACCAAATTGCAGAATCAAAGAAGAAGACAACCTAAGATTTCTGCATCAATCTTCGATCTCCTCTTCAATTCGCATTCAGCAGCCTTCTCTCTTCTCTAGTAGTTCTTCTTCTTCTTTGGTTTTGTCTTCAAGGGTCTGAACCCTAATTCCCTCTTTTTCTTTTTCTTTTATAGTCTTCCTTTCAGCCTCTTTTTCCTTCTCCAAAGTCAGCCGCCTTTTTGGAGCCTCCCTTTGGGCTACGGTTGGGCTGCTGCTCTTGGTGGGCCGAACTGTTGTTGGGCTGTTCTCTTTGATGGGCCGAACTGCTGTTCTGCCATATGGTTTCAGTTGGGCTGCAGTTGGGCCTCTCACCTTGGTGGTTTCAGTGCTTCCCATGGGGTTTCGGTTGGGCTTTTCTTCTTGATGGGCCGAAGTATGCTCTCTTCACCCTAGATTGTCCCAAACTCTTAGTTTTCCTGGAATTCTGCTCAATTAGGGTAAAAACCATTGCAAAACATCATTAAAACCATGTATATAGCAACTGTAGCCACATCTCCCAGTTTCCTTTTGTTTGCCAATATCTCCTTCAGGAACTTTGCATAGTATGGCATCTGGACTAAAGCATCTGCAAAAGGAATGTTAATATGTAAACTATTAAAAATTTCAAGAAACTTACCGAATTCCTTTTCCAATTTGTGTTGCTTTAGCCTATTCAGAAATGGTACTTGCGGCTGTTGACTTTTCTCTTTCTTTGAATCAGATTGCTCTTCCTCCTTCTTTTCAGTTTCTAGGGTTGCACCCATCTTGCCTTCTTCCTTTGCCTTCTTCTCCACCTCTTGCAACTCTTTACCACTTCTCAAAGTAATGGCTTGTACCTTCTCTCTTGGATTTTCTTAGGTATTGCTGGGTAAAGTGCCTTGGAATCTAGAAGATATCATCTGTGCCAACTGCCCCACTTGAATTTCCAAGTTCTTGATTGATGCTTCTTGGTTCTAAAATCTCATTTTTGCACTTGCTATGATCTTGGTCATTATCTCCTCTAGATTGGATTTCTTCTCTAGCTGATTGAAATTTTGGGGAAAGGGTTTCACCGTATTTTGATTTTGCCAAGACAGATTTGGGTGATTCCTCCATCCGGGGTTAAAAGCACGAGGGTACTGATTGTCTTGTTGCCTTTGCAAATTACCAACAAAGTCTACTTGCTCGGGGGATTGCATGTACTGATTCCCAACTTGGCATTCGGTGTTGCCATGACCTCCCCCACACCATTTACAAGCTATGGTCTAAACATGCATGGCTGCCAATTGCATTTCATCTATCTTCTTGCTGAGGGCACCGATTTGTGCAGATAGTGTTGTATAGGTGTCTACATTATGAAGTCCGGGCTGTCTCCTAACTTGGGCTCTCTCGGAATACCATTGGTAGTTGTTTGCAGCCATCTCCTCAATGAGTGCATGGGCAACTTTAGGGGTCTTATTATTAATGGATCCCCCAGCTGTAGCATCCATAATAGTCTTATTGGCTTCGGTCAATCCATTATAAAATGTCTGAACTTGCAGCCATACGGGAAGTCCATGATGAGGGACCTTCCTTAGTAATTCTTTGTAACGCTTCCATGACTCATACAATGACTCTCTGTCCTGCTGAGAGAAGGTGGTGATATCATTCCGCATCTTTGCTGTCTTGGACGGAGGGAAGTACTTGGATAGGAAGCGGCAAGCCATTTCATCCCATGTAGCAATCGATCCAGCTAGTAGAGAGTTCAACCACGTCTTATCCTTGTTCTTCAATGAGAACGGAAACAATCTGAGCCTCACCGCATCATCACTAACCCGTTGTGTTTGAATGTGTCACATATTTCCAAGAAGTCGGCGATGTGAGTGTTCGGATCTTCATGTGTCAAGTCACAGAACTGAATTGTATTCCGAATCATCTGAATGATTGCTGGTTTGATTTTGAAGTTGTTGACAGCTATTGCTGGTCTCACAATACTCAAGGCTGCCCCG